CTGGTGGGGCGATCGGTGTGGCCATTAAGCTAGTTGAGAGCGCCGGAGCCGGAGAAGGCGGCGTCTCCGTCCGAGAGCAGCGCGAATGGTGCCGGCGGCGGGAAGAACAAGGGGGGAAAGAAGGGCAAGCCCGCGGTGGCGAAGGTGGAGTACAACACCGAGGAGGAGAAGAAGGAGGCGTTCGTCGAGATGCTCAAGGAGTGCGAGGTCACCAGCACAACCAAGGTGGAGAATGCTCGGCTGCGGTTGACATTTCGTTTTTGCTTAGTCTTTATTCATGCCTTGTCGGTAGGCGTGTTTGGTGTTTTGAGCTGGCGAAACTGATATACTGGACGAGCGCGCCTGTTCCTCAAGTGTTTTTCAAGTGTTGTTCGTACGTCTCTCGATTAGTACCTAGGTCATCCTGTGGGGCTTGTAAGTATACGTTTCTCATCATTGCTTAGGCGCGTTTGACCTTTGTTGCTAGGTACATCGTGCTGAGAGCTTCTAGAAGAATACGTTTCACATGCTCTCTTTTTTGTTTTGTTTTTGGCAGCCATGTGCGTACAATGTATGGCTATCCACCTGCATTCTGGGTCCGCCGTCGAAGTGTGTCTTCTCATTGTATCTTATGTTGTCCACCAGGTACAATTGTATGTACGCACTGTTTTCGGTTTTGTGCGCTGACGCTGCCTTTGCCGTTTCACCCCGTGTGTCGCTTGTCCTGTCTTTTCGGCTCCCTCGCCTTTTCCTTCGTTCTTGCATGGTTGCAGTGGCCTGAGACCCAGCGGTACTGTCAGTCCGATCCCCGGTGGGAGCTCCTGAGGAAGGGTTCTCGCCGCCAGACATGGACGGAGTACCAGAACAAGAGGTACGCAACTGGGAGCAAAACTGATTGTATCTCGGACACCCACCCACCACTTTGTTTTCGCATCTGTGCATACCAATCTTGGCAATGTTCAACAACAGGGCTATGACATATGTACTGAAGCCTGAGGCCTTGCCGGCATCGAAGTCCGGAAACTCTCAGACGACGTATAAAAGTATAAAAGTGTATTGAAGTGTATTGGATTATACGCCTTACCGCGTGAGGAAGGGAAGAACACCGAACACCGAACACTATGTAGTACCTATGTAGTGCTGTTGCTGTGTGTTGCGAGATGGTGTGGGCCTCACTTGGACGGTAGGACGCCCTGGGGGTGTAGAGGATGTGAGCGCTACAAAGCATCCTCACATCTTGAACAACAATTCTCGTTGTCGGCGCTCTGCTGCTCAACCCAGCTGTACAATAATAGCGCGGGAGCCCACGATTTTACCGCACCTTTGCTCTGTATGTCTCACGTTTGCCAAAACAACAACGACTACAACTCGCGTTGTCCATCCCCTTTTTTTCTGTTGTTGGCACGTGATGAATTGTCTGCGCTTAGGCGGAAGGAGGAAGCCGAGGAGAAGCGATCCAAGGCGAAGAAGGCACGCATGGGTTTCATGAAGATGCTCGCCCAGAACACGCAGATCGACGGCCGGTCGCGCTGGGACGAGGCGGAGCGCACCCTTCGCGACGACGCTCGCTTTAAGGCCGTGCCCGACTCTGCCGACAGGGAGGACCTGTTCAACGAGTTCGTGGAGGCCTTGACCAAGAAGGAGAAGGTGACAACATACATCCGCACACACACACCCACATACATACATACATCCACCTACACCCTCCTCGCTGAGGTTGACGTATTTCCATTGGTCAATCGGTTAGCGCGTGCTTATGATAGTAAGACACACAGAAGCACCCCTTGCTACGCGGATAGCGCGATCGATGCTAGTATGTAGAAAAGACACAAATATGCTCTCCTTGCGACGTGGGCGTTTGTGTGCTGTGTATGGTGAAGCTCGCGAGTCGTTTGTTCGTTGTCACTATTTAACTTGCCGTGTTTTGTGCTGTCTCTCATCATGAAGGGAAGTACGTTTTTGTGTAGTGAGAGTGCTGTGTCCTGTCGTCGTTGAGCTAGTCATTGATGTTTGTTGAGCAGTACCGCCTCAATTTTTGTCGTGTGCACATCGGCGGATGTGTCCTCCTTCTGTGTTGTGTTGTGCATATGTGCGGTTGTCCGCGCTGCCGTTAGCTCGATGTGCTGCGCCAGAGCATTTTACCACATCACCGGTGGTCTATGCATCGTCCACTGCTGTTGTTGGCGTTGGCAAATGTCGAATCAATATGGTGACGTTACCGTCTTTCCGACGCAAATCGACGATGCGGATGTTTATCTCGCTCCAACGTTGAGGCTGTTAATTCTCTTGCTTCCGTCCTTTCAGAGCTTGGAAATACCGCAATATTTTCTCGACACATGTGAGTTGTTATCGAAGTCACAATCGAATGTGTACTTCGGAAGGAACACTCTGCAACCACTGGATCGAAATGTTTTTACATGACGTGGCCTGCATATTTTCCCGTGCCTTGTCTTGTCACTCTCAGGAGGACCGTCGTGCCGCCCAGAAGCTGGCCTCCGAGCGTTTCGTGGAGTTCCTCGAGGAGGAGTACCTGTCCCTCGGCATCACCTTCCGGACCACCTGGCGCGACTCGAGGGACGTGATCGAGCGCAAGGCCCCCGCAGAGACGGACGTGCTCGAAGACAACGACCGCCGCAGGCTGCTGGACGATCTCGTCACCAAGCTCTGCAAGGCCGAGGACGACCGCAAGGCGAGGGAGAGGGACGAGCGGAGGAGGCAGGACCGCCTCCGCCGCGAGGACTTCAAGGAGTTCCTGCAGGGCATGGTGGAGGAGAACGCCATCACGGCGGACACGACTTGGAAGGACCTGAAGCGGTCGATCGAGGAGGAGGAGGCCTACAAGGCCATGGACGACCAGCCCGGCGGCGCCCGGGACGTTTTCGACGACATCGTGGCCGACCTTCGGCGGCAGTTCCGCGACGACAAGAGGTGCGTGGAGGCCCTCATGGAGGAGGCCAAGTTTGTCGTGACGCCGGAGACGAAGCAGCTCGAGTTCGAGGCTGCCCTTCTCGCCCACGAGGACGATAAGTGCGCCGAGTACGAGCAGAAGCAGAAGGCCGCTAAGGAGGCCGTCGCCGCTGCCGGCAAGGGCAAGGGTGAGGACAAGGACGACGGCGGCAAGGAGAAGGCGAACGGGAAGGGTAAGGACAAGGACGGCAGTGAGGATGGCAGCAGGAGAGGGCGCAGCCGCAGCAGGAGCCGCAGCCGGAGCGGGGACAGGAGGCGCAGGAACAGCAGGAGCCGCAGCCGCAGCGATAGCAGGAGCCGCAGCAGGAGCCGCAGCAGGAGCGGGAGCAGGGGCCGAGGAGGAGGCAGGGGGTCCCGCAGGAGGGACCGTAGGGACAGGGGGGACAAGAAGAAGGACAAGGCGGCCGACGACCCCCCTCCCAAGAGGGTGTTCCAGGAGATCCTGGACAAGAGGGCGGTCAACCTCGGCATCGTCTTCGAAGCTCTGGTTGAGAAGGCCCAAGTCAAGCGCAAGGAAGAGGTGAGTTTGATTATCAATGGTTGGACTGCTGTGCTGCCCGTGGCTGTTCCGTTGGCGTTTTTGCCCCCCGCTTCCGTGTAGGGTGCAACGTGGCCATGGTTTATTGTTTTTGTTGGTCTCGCACGCCTGTGGTGGGCCTGGCTCGCCTCGCCTTGTGTTCTTTTTCCTGTGTTGCTCGTACCAAGTTGAGTTTTTGTACGGGAAGAAGGCGAAGAAACATGTCATGTGGAAAGCTTTTCAAGTGAGCTCCACATGGATATCATACCAGCAGCGATTCTTGCAAATATTAAACCCGACGTTGTGTAGCGTGTGCTAGTTGGTAGATGCCACATTTTCGTTCCTCCTGGCAGGGCACGCGATTGCAAGTTCTGCGAGGGAAACGAGGCGCTGCCGGCTCTCTCCCATCCCGCCTATCGGGCCTGTTCGTCTTTGTCGCCCACCCACCTAGTGTTTGCCTTTTTGCGGGCTGCATGGCACCACAACACGCCGCAGTCACTATATAGCGAGCTCCGTTCCGAGAACCGGTCGCCGCCATGTAAACGTTTCTTTCGCTATTTTCGATCAAGTCGTCCACCAAGACAGGCTGACACTTTTGGTTCACGCATCTTATCTCGAGAGAAATTGATTTGTCTTACACCTAGAACGGGTGTGCATGAATTGTTGCCAGCGACGTCGGTCGTGTGCGTTTTGCTTGGTGGGGAAAACTTGGAAATCTTGGCGCAGCTAGCTGGTCGTGGAGAATGATCGTGCCCACGAAACACTCTGCATGCAATTATTAATCATCGTTTGATTTCGTCATGCCTGGCTGTCTGCGAAAACATGTACTGCTGTACCCATGTTTGGTGTAATGTGATCTCTTCAGTTGCCGAAAGTATTGACCAACACTCTGCTGCTACTGTCTGTCAACAGGAGCGCCAGCGCGAGCGTCGCGAGAAGAAGTTTGGCGATCTTCTTGAGGACTACTTCTACCGCTCCGATCACGTCGACATCGATTGGGAACAGGGCCGGGACAAGATCGGGAAGCACTCCGTGGTGAAAGAGATGGAGGAGGACGACTGGTGAGCGAATTAGATCGGATTTTTGCTAACGAGGAGCAATGCTGCGGTTGCGCTTCTTTGCGCCGGTTGTACCCCGGGTTGCCTTGTAGGACACAGAAGAGCAGCCGTTCGGTTTCTACCGACACCAGCTTTCAGCTCTCACCGGCGTACCTTTGGTATCCTAACATCGTTCGTTTGTTGTGACGTGGCAATACAAGAGACCCGCGTAGAGGGCTCACGCGAAGCACTATTTAGTTGACGATTCTCTCTCGGTACATACCCTTTTCTTGGAAGTCGTTCACGTCGAAAGAAAGCTTTAGAATCTTCTTGTTCACGTGTAGACAAACAAAGCAGATAGCCAACGCTCCCATTGTGTGTTCGCGCTTGGGGGTTGTTCCCATACAGTGGTGTTTCTGACCTTTCCTCCTAACGTGTTTTCTGTTTTCGCCTCCCCCTCCCCCTCTTGTTGTTGGTCGCGGCGGTGTGTTTCGCGTTATGGGATACCGCGTGCTGTCCGGAAATAACGCCTGCTTGAATTGTCATCTTGGCCTGCTGGACTCGGCTTGTCGATGGATGACAGCAAGCGCATGTTCGACGAGCACATGTCGATGTTGAAGGAGAAGATGGCCAAGAAGGCCGCTCGGCAGGAACAGATGCGCCTGGAGAGAGAGGCCAAGCGCAAGGTGAACAAGTCGCTGCCGTAGCACATGCGCAAGTGTGTTTCTTGTTTGGCCTCGATCATATTTTCGTTCACGGGCTCGTGGGCGGTGTTGAATTTTCTTGTAATTCTCTGTCGTAGCACTTAAGAAGTGCGTTTCGTGTTTTGGCTGGCTCGTTAGTTAGGGTGCTGCCGTCGTATTACTGTGATATTCACAGTAGTACAACGTGGTTGTGCCGAAACGAGTTGTTTTGATGAAAGACACACGTGTCGGTCGCTGTGTATCATACATCCTACAATTGTACTCCCCCCGAGGATGCCTGAGATAGATGTATTGCGTGTGCGTTCACGTGTCTACAGACCGCGATTTGTGATTGGTTTCCGTGGGTCTCCTGCATCAGAAAGCTGACAGAAAGAGAAAAGCAGGTACTGTGTCATCCAGTAAACGATCGAACGAATCTGGTGATGTTTGGTTACAGTAGCGATAGCTGCTGGGTGTCCAACATGTCTCTGAACACTGCCCTGTCCCCTCGTACCTATTGTAACGAATGTGTGCCGTCTTTTGGCCGACTTGACAACTGGCACGCCCAGGAGCGCGAGGAACGCGAGAAGGAGGAGCGCGACAGGCGTTCTTCGAAGCGGGGACGGTCATCGTCTAGATCCTACTCGGACAGGTCCTACTCCAGATCCAGATCTCGCTCGCGCGGCAGCAGCAGGAGCGATCGGTGAGGGGGCAGGGATACTAAAAATACGTTTCCCCCCCCAGAATTGTTCGAGATGCTGCAAATTGCTTTTTTTTTTTATGGCTGTGGGTGCGCTGCGCTGCGGATATTGGCGGATGTATGTTATCCTTTGTTCGATGCCAGGAGTTCTTATTTTTTCTTCGGTCCCCGGCCGTTTGCTGGCTGATGTCGTGAGGTTTACACGCGTAGCAAACCACGTTGTTGATTATGTTCTTTAGTATTCTCTTGGAACAGCATGCCATTCCCTGCTGTTGCTCTCTTTGGTACACTGAGCACAGAGGGGGGACGGCGCCACCTCCAGAGGGGAGGCACAGGCATTGGTATTGAGACTCATTCTATGCTTTGAGTTGATCCCAGGGAGTTTCGGTTCCCGCCGAACTTAATTGCCTTGTTCAAATCCTTGTCTCGATTCCGGTAGCGTTCATGCGTTCATGCTACCATTTTGGTTGTGGTGGTGAGTGCGTTGACGTCGTGCAAGTGTTTCACCATTGTTGTTAGAATGGTATTGGAATAACGCCAAGTGTCTATCTGGAATATCGCCTAGTGTCAATTTGTTGTTTGGGGTTTCGGCTACAGGGCGACACTCTCTCAAATATCCCAAGATTATTAAGATTCGAGGATTTGAGAGTATGTCTAGCAGAGGTTTTGATGTCAATGCAACATTTCACGAAATATTCGAAGATTCGAAGATGGAGATTTTGTCTAGCAGAGGTTTGATATGCTGAAGCCGCAGTATTAACGCCTTACGCGCGGTCGGAGTCGGAGGCATGGTGTGATCGCTCCGACAGGGTATCGTTAATAATACTTCTAATAAAGAACAGTACGTCATTTCAGCTGGCTGTGCCTCAATGGATGAAGGAACTAAGTAGTCAGTCGATACACGTGATACATGTGATGCATACAGCCGCTACACCTACCCGTGTAGATATCACTCTGGAGCCGCCAGTCCACTGTAAATACAACACGATTTTGTCGTGTGCATGTACTCCCTCGGCCCATCCCCCATGCCCACACTTGTTTTTTGTTTAAATTACCTTTGTGTTAACAGCAGGTCGAGGTCTCGTTCGGTGTCGAGGTCCCGGTCCCTGGACTCGAGGGACCGCTCCAGAGACCGCAAGCACCACAGCAGCAGCCACAAGAAGTCAAAGAAGAGGCACAGGAGCCGCTCGCCCGACTCTCCGTACCAGTCTTACTCGGCCCCCGTGGAGAAGCACAAGAAGGTAAGTAAGCGAAGTGAGGTGTCTTAATGTGTGTGTCGACGCCTACGGGAGTGTTGTAGTTTGACGTGACGGAAAGTAAAGTAGCGTTGACTGACTGGTTTATAACAGTACTCCGTTATTAGAGTAGAGTAGCGGTGCTGGCTAGGGTAGGCAACTTTCAGCAATGGAAAGTCGATTAGCCAGTCGGTATTGATTGGGTGTTCTTCGGAGCCCCTAAACGCACTAAATAATCGTAATCCTTGGACTGTCTCTGTGAGGTTGACATGATTGGATCCCCACTCCTTCATGAGAGGAACTTGTGAACAAGTTGTAAGTGTTTGGGGTAGTCTTGCCAGAGGACGAAAGGCGGAAGTTTGTCCCGTGTTCGTAAATGTCACCTGAATGTGTACTGCAGCTCCCCAAGCCCTGCGCTACTCTGGCCACAATACCACCTGGCAAACGGGACTGATTGCACGAAAATGGAATGGATAGCGTGACTGTGACGGGAACACGGAACCACAGCAGAAGGAGAACCAACTGCTGCTGTGCGTTCTTCATGCGCTTGTGGTCATGAGTTGTTAGGTCACTCGATGCGCAGGAGCACAGAAATCTAGAAAACCAAAATGCAATGTTCGGATAGATGGGTGGGTGGGTTTCCGTTGACTTACGCTACTGTAGAGAAAAAACGTTTGCCTTGTTTACTGTACAATATCCGAACCGTGTTTAGTGTTGTGGTGATCTCGTTTTGACCCCTGCTGACAGCCTGCTCGTGTTTTGCTTAAACCGCGACCGGTTTGCAGGAGAAGAAGAAGTCCAAGAAGAACAAGAAGGACAAAAAGGACAAGCGCGACAAAGACAAGGATCGCCACTCCTCCAAGCACGGCGACAAGGACAGCAAGGACAAGCATGCCTCCGCGGCAGCCTCCAACTCCCGCAAGGACTCTATGGCTGTCGACTCTGCCGATGACGAGGAAGGTCAGATTGACGTTGACAAGGGCAAGAAGGAGAAGAAGCATGGCGAGGGCGAGGGGACCTCTCCTGCCACCAAGCGACCGCGCGTGGGAGCGGACAAGGAGGCTGATGGTGGAGACGGTTCTCCGGAGAAGAGGGTGGCTGCACCGGAACGCGCGCACAAGGTGGAAGAGAACGGGAACGGTAGCGCCCCTGTCCCCTTGTGAGCTATGCTAGCTGTCACAGAATCTGTAACAAACCTGCAGTCGGCCAATGATCGATCGACCGGTTTTTTATGGGTGCCATTTTCGGGGTTGGATCGGTTCGCCTGCTGTATTCTAGGTGGGCGGGGGGTTGGGGAGGGGGCGGGTTGATGCTGTACGCTTTTTGTTTTTGGTTGCTGCGGGTGTGGTCTGAGTGAAAGAGAGAGGAGTTTGTGACTCAAATGTTGGTCGTACCAATACCAAACCTGACACGACCAGGGGGAGGCGAGGGCGGCTTGGACATGTAGACCGAGTCACTCGTGCAGGGTCTTTCATCAGGGCGATGCTACGATACACACTGGATGGTTTGTTTCGTGGTCTGTAGGTGTGTAGGTTAAAGCACTAGACAGGTGGCATTGACTTCTCTTTCGGTAAAAAGTGTTGCATGTGCGGGATAATCCAAGCTCTCCGGGCAAGCGTGGTGTTGATGAAGGGTACCGCGCCATTTGTGACCGTGCCTAGTACGATGAAGAGCGGGAAAACCGGCTGAAGGTGGACATCTTTCGTATCAGCCTGTCGTGGGGTTTTACATGAAGGGAGTAACGCCGGATAGGATGTAGTCATGCACAGGCTTTGGGTGTAGCGTGGAGACAGGAGAATCTGAGAATATTTGTGACACTGGTGATGATGTTATCTGCCTGTTGGAGGTGTTTGTGTTTTGTGCACGTTTTCCAAGGGTTTCCGACCCGTGTTGGTGCATCTCAATAACCTCAATCATGTCAATCATCCTTGCTCGGGGACGGACGGTGCAGGCAAACGCTTCGTTGTGGTTCATATGGTACACGCAGAAGGGTTGGCGTTAGAAGTTTTGATTTATCCAGCAACGACTCTTGAAACAGCATTCACAACGGCTTCCGAGTGGAACCCTTGCGGACGCGCACTCCGCCATTTTGACCTCAGTACCAAGTCATGGCGGTATGCTGGAGGGAAAAGCTTGTCTCACCCTCGTCACGACACGTTGAGCCGCACAGCAGTTTGAGTGCATTCTAAAGGCTGTTTGTTTACGGTTCCAAGCCTTGCTGGCAGGACTTGTCACGTACTGTACAAGGCGCGCATTAGCGTGCACTCGTATCTGTTTGGCAAGATGGATGGGTTGGTAGACCAAGCAATTAACAACGAAAACTCCCTCCCTATCCACGCAAGAGGTCTTTGAACTGGTTCAGCGTGTACGTACTGGCTGCTGCGGGCCTTACACCGACACCTAATGTCGTCACTCCATGAAAAATTGTGCAGCAGGCAGGCACACGCAACTGTCGTTTCGCCGATCTCCCAAGAATGCAGAGAGAAGAACGGTTTCCGGAAAGAGAAAAACACTCGGTCGGCAAAGCTAAAAAACCGAACCCAGTCACAAAACATCAGTAGAACCAGTAGACATGAAAAGGAAGATATGCTGCGTTGTGCACTTGCTTTTGAAGATCCTAACAGTGCACAAACAGCGTTGCGCGACTCCACTGTATCCGCCACACGAAAGCAAAGCATTCTCCGACATTTGACTGACGCTGCTCTCCCTCGCACGTGTAGTTGTTCAACACCAACAACAACAACAACGACCTTTGTTTGTAAGCACGGCTTTCCTCGTGCTGTTGTTGGCGCTACTCAATCTACTCAATTTCTGGGCTCAGGGCACAGCAGTAAATAGTAGTTTCCGTCACCCACCGGTTACGTTTCATCAACCAGCGCCAACCCTAAGGGAAACAACAAGACAATTGACACCCTTGCCGTTATCCAATGACACAGGAGGTAGCCGGCTTCTCGGCGGCTTTGCGATCGAAGAACGCCTGCAGCTCTCGCCCGTACGAGAACCTTGCAGCGGCATCGGGGGCGAGGTCATGAACCACCAACTCGCCCCCAGTGCCGGAGAAGATCTTTCCTCCAGCCTCTTCGCCGAACCGGAATCGCGCCAGCACCTGTTGTTCAACGGTTCAATTCAGACATCTTTGACTGCTGTGTGTGCAGCACTTGACTAACTCTTTCAAGCTGGGCAAACGTGAAAATTCGGAAAATCAACTTCGCATGATGAAGTACACGAGCTTCTAGACTTGAAGTCGGACTGGGCTATGGCAGCGTGCGGCGTTCTATGCTCTTGGCAACCTCCAACCCTCGGCTTCGAAATCACACATAGTATGTCTACGGGCGAAAGTGTTTGATGCCCTTCATTCTCTCCATTGCGTCGCCCGATAACTGAACAAGTCTTCGTGTATAGACCACTTGCAACAGGACCCGCCGCACCAAAAAAAATGCTCTGGGCGGAGGGGAGGTTCTGTGGGGGATATTTTCAAGAAATCATAACTTTTTGCCCCGGCATCGGATTTTCATAAAATAAATTGCGTTGGATAGCTAACGAGCTGAAGTTTTTTTGGTGATTTTTGCCTTGTTTTTTGGAAAACGGGGGGACGAATATCTTGGGTTTTTGTTGAATAACCCAGGCTGTTCGAGAAAATATAAATTTAGTTCGGGGGAAAGGGTTGATTTTCGTTTAAGAATAACATTATCTTTGTGCCTCGTTTCCAAAACAAATAAACAAAAATCGCAGAAAAAACTTCAGCTCGTCAGCTATCCAACGCAAATTGTTTTATGAAAATCCGATCCCGGGGCAAAAAGTTATGATTTCTTGAAAATATCCCCCACAGAACCTCCCCTCCGCCCAGAGCAATTTTTTTGGTGCGGCGGGTCCTGTTGCAAGTGGTCTATTGCCGTAAATTCACCTGCGCGACAAGGTCGGCGATGAACTGCCCTGAAACGTTTGACGGCTCGATTGGCGTGGATCCGTAGTGTTTCTTGTTGTTGGGGTCAAAGGTCCTCGACAGGTCGATGATCGGCAGGTGGAACTCCACAGCCAGCTGGGCGCAACAAGCCGGCGTCAAGGGATAGACACAACACACAGCAGTCCCGTGTTAGGTGGGCATACGAGAATTCCTCGGCAACCAGAATAATCGACTGGCTTTCGTTGGCATCGTGTCAATAACGCGTGTAATAATGAGTGTATGAGTGGATAAGTTGTGCATGCAATCAAGGCGTTTCGCCTCTCGGGTGTCGTTGAGGGCGTGTGGACTTACACATACCTGTGAGCTTTGACAGACTGGTCGTCCGCAAACCATGGACACAAACACTGGGAGAGCGTCGAAAACAAACATAGTAGGCACGTTCGATTTGGAAGGGCGGTTTGTGATTTGGACGGGCGTAAAGCTGCGGCCGGGTATAGTTTTGGAGGACTGCCCTTTCGTCAATATCCGGCAGACACAGATAGCCCCCCAGCAGTCCCAACAAGAATCGTATTTTCTCTGAAACCTGATGAACTCGCCTCCACAAACACGCCAGGACCACGAACGCTTGGGCTGAGTCAGCCTGGGAAAACATGCAACGAGTTGGTGCTCGGGCCTAGTGGCTTGGGATCGACTTTACAAGCACCGCACATGGCGGAGTAAGGTCAACGGTTGAGCGGCACCGCTCGCCAAAAAACGTTTGCGGCGGTTTGAGCACGATCTTTCACCAATAACAGGTGTTCTTAGAAGCCTGGCTTGCGAGTTCAAGTATCCCAGATCGCAGCAATTGCGAGAAACGGATGTCAAACCCTGCACGACAGAGCAAAACATCGGCATACAATCAAGTACGTAGCCTACTTTCTCCAATCATAAACACGGCAAACGAGCCGCGCCCTCCACATATCCGATTGATGATGTTCACCTCGATGAAAAACTTGGAGAAGTTTACCAGTAGGCGTTGTAGGATCCGTGCCGGTGGCAGCATGCTCAGCAGAGGGAAAGTCTTGAACTCGGGCATATATCTGACGAACCAACGAAAGTGAGAGGAAACGTGTATGACCGCCGGGCTACAGGAGGGCTTTAATACATAGTAGCAGTAGCCATCGGTTCCTTGCTCTGAGGAAAACGTCGCGATCGAAAATAACTTGGAACGGGAAATATTGCTGATACCAACGATACCACAGGATGCCAACAGACAGACTTCCATGTTCAACGAGACTCACACATACACGAGGATGATGTTGGGTGTTATCTCGGCCCGAATAGTCTCCACCACCCGGCGGAGGTTGGCCACGAAGCCGTCGGTTATCATGAGCTCTGTAACCACATCCGGGTTGCGGGATTGCAAGAAACGGATGCGGGCATCGTTTCCTCCGATACTCAGCACCTGCAATGATCGCACAGCGGTCGGGACGAAATGTACAGGCCGGGTTCTGTGATCGTCTGAAGAGCAACCGGGCTTTCAGGCTCCATATGCGTACGAAGTTTACCAAGCCTCGTTTCAAAAATGGCGGCCAGCCAGAGTGCCATAAAAAAGAGCAGCCTTGGATCCTACACATGAACACTCCCGGCCTGCGGCATGGGAGCGGTTGACTCCTTGGGATGTTCAGCGATGGAAACACAAACAATTCGGCGTTTTCCGCGGTCTGCACAATCCCAGCAGGTAGACAGGTGCGACCATGAACCCTCCTTGTTAACAACGCGTAGAGTGAGCGTGCACGTTGCGCCGAGGCACCCACTTACCACGTGCGTAGGTTTGGCTTCACGCAAGAGCTTCAATGGTCTCACCACGCCATCCTCTTCCACCGGGTACGGCTCCATCTTCGCCTTTCTTCGGCCATTCCTGTAGTGGGCTGGTCAAACAAAGGACAAAGGACTTCCCATCGTCACCGCTGTTGTTGCAGCAGCAGCAGCAGCAGCAGCAGCAGCACTCACCTTTGTGCGGCCTAGCGACCTGCATATGTAGCCAGTCTCCATAAACCACACGTGACACGTGTGAGCTCGAGAAATTAACATCTTGATGCTACAGCAAGTAAGGGCACACACCTACTTTCATCATAAAAGTATGTATCACAATCACGATGTTGCATCCCTACGACCCTGGTGCCTAACTATGTCATTTGATCTTGTACAACGATGACGACAACGAATACCTATGTAGGACTGTTGTTGCACATCTTCAGAGCCGACTGCTGAAAAGAGAACGGGAGAAAACACCCCTTTCCCTCACGTACACCGCCGACACACGACACACCTGCTGGGGCACGCCCTCGTAAGACACACGAGATGGTCGATTCATCGACAGCGAAATTGTCCACTCGAATGCTCCGATCCGGGTAGGCGATCTTGAGAGTCCGTTCAGTTTGTGCGCGAACGTCGTTTGGAGGGTGATCGAGCCAGTAGTGGTCATCTAAGACGCTGTCCCCTACGAGCGCGACATTCAGATCGGACGTATCCATCTTGTACGATGTACGCGACGAAGCAATACAACTGCTGCTGCTGTTGTCGCTCCTTGTCTCCTAAACTGGCGCACTGGTGCAACAAGACCAATGAACGCGCGAGGAGGGAGTCGGTGGGAAGACAGATCTGCCCTATTTCCAGCTCTGACAACTAAGAGGGGCATGCACCTCAACAACAAGACCAGCCTAGGCGAGTTCCGATGGCTTCATTTGTGCGAGGACGAAGAGCAAGCGGCGAGCAGTCTGGGACCTGGGACACCTGGGAGCCGGCGATTCCTCCGCGTGTCTCGCGTACGTCCTGACAGTTCCGCGACCGACCGCTCCAGAACGAGCCGCCCAGGACGCTGCCGTGTCATGTGTCATGCAGTCATCCGCGAACGTCATTTCAACACAGTCACGCACGCGCGCTCTGACGAACCTGCCATCGACGCCAGGCGCGGATGGTGAGTGACCCCTACCGGCTGTGCAGTGGCGGCGTTGCCTCGTGCACACCATACCACACCAAAACACAAAGCGTTGTGCACTCATCCTTGTTGCGTTAGGCGCACTACACTCTGCAACTGCGTTGATTGTACCGCAGCAGTGCTCTGTCTGGCGTAGACGATGGTGATACTCGGGCAAAGAGCAGCTGCGCTGGCTGGCCCTTGGCATGCGGCGCTACTCCTGCTCCTGCTGTCTAGCCTGCGGCAGCTCGGTTTCTGTTCTGCTCTTCTTGGGGTAGCACCACCACACCGCTCCAACTTCAAGATGTTCAAAGCAAGATACCCGCTGGAAGGGGGCCCGCCGCAAGTGAAACTACACATCGCCATCATCGTGGAAGACTCTCGAAGCACAGGCGAGAAGGGTGGTCGACCAAACAGCGAAGACAGAGACACCGGGCGACGCTTGGTGCTGTTCGATTTTCTGCCCAAAGAACCAACGGCGTTCGAAACAACGCTTCGCTTGCTGACGGGAAACGACGTTCCGGGAAACCTAAGAGAGCGGGAGCTTCGATTCCTGCCTCCCGGGTCGGTGTACGTGGGGGAGAGCGATGCGACTATTGGCGACATGCGAGGATTTGTAGCAAAGTATCCTGATCGTCTGTCGCTGGTATCGAACAATTGCTTTTCATTTGTTGATGCCTTTGTTGCAAGGCATCGCCTAGAGTAAGTTAAGGGTGTGCACTACACGTGTGATCGTAGTACTTTTGTACCACTGTGTACTACTGTACATGATGATACCACATCGCTTGTGGATGTGACCTACAGGTTGGGAACCTTGAGAGTTTGATTGTCACCACAACTTCATGATCAGGGTGAAACCACGCATGGATCTGTATGCTGTTGGTTGCTGAAGTGTGGTACTGCTCTTCACCTGTTGCCGTGTCGCTGGTCGAATCCCGAGTACACCCAAAGAGCATGGGGGTTTGGCATCATTGTCACATTCTTTTTGGGCCGATCCGTTTTTGGATAGTCAAGCTGGCAACTGGCAGATGTATTATCTATAGATGGACAGCAGTGTTTCCTGTGAGCACCGGTACGGCGAGAAACAGCCGGGCACGCACTTGATTTTTTGACTGCTGGAAATCCTTCTTGATTGAGTGTGCCGACCTCACTGGTATTGTTGTGCGAATGCTGAGTTGTTGTCTACTTTGGGCACGGGCGCTTCCATGTGTGCCATGACACATGCAAGTTCGCCCGTGTGGTAAGGGCGGTCGGCGCACGCACCCACACTTTCTTCCTGCACGTCCTGCTATTGTGGCGTAGGGGGAGGGTCGTTTTTGGTCTGTGGGTTGCGTGTTTTGGCTATTTGCGTTGTACGGTGGCCTTTGGTTGGCCGTTTTTTGCTGCTGCTGTAGAGGGGAGGGTGCGCTCTTGAAAGCAACCAGTCAGAACTATTTTGTACAAAAGTTGGCCTCGCGAGATACAGCTGACACACAAAGCTCAGCATGCAAAGATAACGAAGGGTATTTGTGTTATCTCCACAATATAATATCGAGATTGCTTTTTTTCGTGTTTGTGTAGCTCTAGCCTTAGAGTTCCCGTCAAGGTGCAGATTCCCCTTCAAGCTGACTTTCTCTTGAGATTTCAAAGTCCCCCAGACACATACGTAAGCACCGAAGTTAGGGCTAAGTTTAGGTTATGTAGGTCAAACCAACAATTTGTCGATCGAGTGAGGTTTGTCGAATGGCTTGTATACCGGAATACCCTCATTGGAGGGTGGTGAACCTGGCAGCCTCGACGTGATGCGTGACGGTCTTTGCGTGCGCCTGCTTTGGTGTGGGCACCCTGGAGTATTCCATTCCGTACGGCCTCGCCACATGGTCTGTGTGATCGATTTGGGGACATGCGCGTAGGTGCAGACATCACGACCTTGGTCAGCAGTGAAACAAATGAGCATGGTGAAGAAGAGAATATCCCAACGTATGAACCACAGCAGCCCATACCTGGCGACGTTCGATCCAGCAGCGTTGCACACAGACATGGATGTTTCACGCCTTCAGCGTGGCACGGCTGAAGAAATCATCCGAAAGATTTTTTTTTGTCGCCGTGTGTACCACGCTTGAGGATTTCGTCTAACTGCTGTACCTCTACCAGGCATGAGTTTTTCATGGTCCGTCAGGACAGTAGTCCCATGTGATCATCGCTCGAAACATTTCGTCCAATTATGTGGTGCCCTGAAGTGTTGTCTTTCTTGCTCTTTTTTAGGCACAAGAAAGAACACAAGAGGAGTTTATTTCATCGTTCCGTTATTTTCGAGGGATTTTGCGACCACGATCTCGAGTCACGCGCATCGTTTCTAGAGAAAAATGCGCACGAAGAACCTCGGCGCGTGGAGAAAACAAATCAGGGACCGCAACAACCACTCCCACCTCGACAAACGTATATACATCTCTGTGGCCGAACAAACTTTGAACTTGGCCAAGACCACCCATACAGTGTTGGGGCATACTGAACGGTCCCAGAAGTTTGCCCACCCACCGCTCACAACCCAGGTGATTGATCTGATGCCCTCTCTGGTTGCACAGATAAGAGGTACGACTTTCTCCCCGGGACAACTTGATTCACCGTGTCAGTACTGCCCATACCCTTGTTGAACCAGCTACATGGTTGTGGTGTCATCTTCGCGGCCAATCGTTCTTTCTTTCAGGGGTGTTGAGCACCTACCTGTGGCACGATATATTACAATAAACACCAATTTCTGACTCTTCCCCCTTTGGATGTAGGATTCGTCTGAAAAACTCACTTTGTGACCCTCTGTAGCCTAGACATATGTGAAACTGTCAAGTTTAGAATGTTTCTGGGCTCTCGACCATATTGCGAACCGTGCGTCGGTATGCATACTACATAGGTTTACATGTTTTCTCCATTGCTCTCTGTTGTACTCCATTTTGGTGGGTTAGAGTCTGCGTGAAGCATTTCGAGGCAACCATTAACAAGAGAGATTTGAATCACCTAAAGACACAAATAATCCGCTTGAACAACAGAACTACAGTGATCATGCCAGCGGTCAGTTTTCATAGTGACAACGAACGCACTCACGGAGCGCGTTGGCGGTGCTTGCTTCCCGTCGACAGCTATTCGGCGAGACTTCAGCACACGATCTGCAACTACTCCAATGGAATACTTTATTTTTTTCCTACGATTTCCGAGGCTCTGGCAGGTATTGTTCTTCTTTCGGATAGATCTCTTCGCGCAAAATCATCCAACATTCATTGACACTGTGTACTCCCCTGTGACGGTTGTTGACCCTCGGCCATCTGAACGTGTTATGTGCTTGGTTTGGCGGCACACTTTTCAGCTTTTGCTATCGAATAGAAACTCCAATGGATTTGGCACACCGTGCAATAATTTTCAGTAGCCTCAAAAATCGCGACGTTCGGATGCCACCGGATTTCTGTTGCTCGTCATTCAACAAGGAAAAGCACAACCGCACGGCAAATGGACACTGCGATAGACGTTGCAATCTGGGATGATCAAGGAACAACGAGAATGAGAACACCAACCACCGCTTGTTGGAGACATTGCAGACTAACGTACTACTTCTTGTTTTCTTGGCCAAGCGGAGGAAGAAGGGGAGCGAGCGGCGACGTGGCCGAAAACGCTCCCCGTCGGGCGAGAGCGACGAAGTCGAACGAACTACCGTCGGAGAAAATGGCGCGGTACCGCCTGTTGGCGGACCACCCGGCGAAGACGAAGAGATGCCGGACGCAGGCGTGGCCTAATTCATTGTCCTGCGTAGTGGCCTATCGCAGTTAGTTTTGCCGCTTAGTGCACGCCAGCCTTGTTGTCTCCCTTTGGATTGGTTTCGAGACTCAGCAATCCACAAACAAACGAAGTTCAATTTTATGTCTCTTTGTGGCGGTTACTTTCCGGGAGGGGACCCTGCACCTGTGATACCGGGTGTGTTGGGAGGCCTGGTAACCCGCCTTGGAGTGCATTCGTCTTTGTACCTCGTGTAAGCGGCGGCATCGGAAAGCGATTCCTGCAACTGTATTCAGGAACCCCAGAGACTGGGCTCGTCGCTTCCCAGAGCGGGAGTATAGAAAAAAGGTACAGTTCATTTTGCTGGCTATAAAGAAAAGCTCTTGTTGCCATTGCTGACCTTCCGGCGCGTTGCCGGTGCAACTGGAACAAATTCGTCGTTGCTTTCGTTCGCCTACAGGCTGCCAATGGAGTGGACTGCCTGGGGTAGTGAAATAGGGAATTGAGCGCATTGCCCAACTCGGAGTTTGAGTCGCAAACAAATTACGAAGAGCTTAGAGTAAATGATGAACGGGACATCTTCGACCCTAAGCGTCCGAGACGCAGTTCCCTCTGAATCAGTCGAGAAAGAATAACACCATTTTGGTTGGCATGGCCAAACCTTCGAGACAGAATGAAATATGGTCGACATGACCAGAATTGACCTCATAACCAACAACATCTTGGTTGCAGTGAGGATAGGCCTACACCCAAGTCACACCCAACCTAAACCCAAGGGGGCAACGTACAGACTCACTGCCGCCCCCCGGCAGTACGAGGACACTCAGCGAAGAAAAGCAGAGCCAAGGCGTGTAAGAGCTGAGATAATAAGCCCCTCTTCACGGCTACAACGCCTGGCACGGCTTGCCACGCCAGTACTGCCCGATATTTTTCGTATTTTGCAACCCCAAGCATGTGTTGTGAGTATCCTGTCATCTTCAAGGCAGGTGCCCGTCATGATGTGCGCACACGGTTCAACAAGGACAACGGGTCCTAGCACACGTCACTACCGCCATATCCGCCGCAATGCTCTCTCTCGCGGAACTTATTATATTGCCAACCGACACAAATTGCACCGATTCGAACCACGTTGTCGACATGTCATTATTAAGGAATAATAAAAACACACACAGAAAGACTACATATTATTCGAGATATACCCACAGTCGAACGGGATGTGATGGAGTCTTTTCAGTGAGTGGAGGAAAACCGGCTGGGTACTGGACATATTTCGAGTCTTTTTAAGTCTATGCACTGATGATTTATACCAGTGATGATGCCAGCTGGTGCCAAGTACAAAAACATCTGTATAGATAGGTAACTTACATCTTACAATACATCCCCTGTAGTTCTCTACTGGGTCAACGACAAAATATCGGGGAGAATCCCTCCGTTGTGTCGTATATTGTAAAATGTAACCTTCACAGGGGACACGGCGCAGTGTATATTGACAGCTTGCTGGTTTGTTAAATATATTAATTAGGTAAAAATCATGAAAGAAAGATGGAACGAAGTCTACAGCATCATCACTAGTTTTTCAAATCTACAGATTTTTGAATTTCATGGACAGTAGGTGTTTCCCGCCGTTTTTTTTTTTAATTTACAAAACGTATTTGATGTCACTGTGCGCTGTTCGGGAAATCGTGGAAAAACAGTGAAATACAGGTAGCTTTCTCTGACGCTATGAATTCATTGCCAATCTGCCTTAGACTATTTTCTTAGATGAATCTGATAGAGATGGATTCATTCGTTGGGTCATACTGAAAAAAATAAAAAATGCATCTCGCATCTCAATGTACACACCGTCCACGATAGATACACGAACAATTGTCCGGATACAAGATGGCCCCAAAGTGCTAAGTGCAGGATATCCCCCCACGCGGGAGATGTCATGTACGTCCCGCGAAGATGGTAGGATGATACTGATCTGCACACACACCCGTTGAGAACTCTGTTTGAATTATCCCGAAACAAACAGACAGATGATGGAACCCGGACTGTAATGAATCAACAATCAATGAACACAAATTTCCGCCGCGTGTACACCCAGTCATCGTCCCCGCCTCAAGGGCACGCACGTCAACAACTTTGCGCCAGAAGCCAGGAGGGACTAGGTGAGTGTGTCTGGTTGAACCAAGAAGCTACGAAGTGACCTATGTAACAAGATGTGCAAATGTAACGGAGATTGATCGATGAAGCTGTGTCGGCATGGTAAGCAGTTGTCCGCCGCTGTCCGCTGTGGGTCGGAAGGAATGGGACACACCCGAAACACAGGCTTCAAAAGATGTGTTTGTGCGATAGTCTCTAGTCTCGAGGGGTAGAAAAGGAGGGACGACTGCTGCAGCTGTTTTATGGTTCAAAACAATATGTGGTCCCGTGATTTAGAGAGGTGTGCCGTGATTTAGAGAGAATGTGAATGTCTACAACAAACTGGTATCTGTCCGCCTGCCTGTCCAACACCTGCGATTGCCTGCCGTCGACGATATGAACTTGCTTGGTGATGACGGATGGATTCCGCCCCTACGATTGACCGTGTAGCTACAGTATGGTCTCACTCTCCAATTTCGGGCCGTCACATTCTCGTAACACGTGCGTTTTGCTAGGGGTATGTATTCGTTTTCTCCTCAGCAGGCTTCTCGAACATCGTAGTCGACGTCCCTTTTCCATATTTGATGAGCCGGTTTGGGTGGCTGGGACATCCCTGGGGCTAGAAGCAGTGGTCCCAAAACGTCATCCATGTTCGCGCTTCTCCTACAGTTCCTACGGGGTCAACTCCACTTTAATCTATACTACAATGCAATCAATAAGTATTGTCGAATCGCAATCAAACGTGAAACATATCCGTGTCCCAGTTATGTCGCAGCGGAGGGCTCCGAGCCGCCGGTCTCGTCGATAACGCGACAACATTAGTTGCTCGGTAAAGCCAATCATCCATCATCGCTACAGTGCGGTGTCGTACCCCCGGTGATACTCGCACTACTTGTGTCTCGGTACCAGTGCTGCACTTACGTTATGTATGCCCAACGAAGTGTATCAGGCTAACCCTGTGGTAGCACGTTGGTTTATTTGCAGCGTTGTAACAACTTCGATGCAACCTGCCCTCCATCAAGCTTCTTCAATGAATATTGGAGAATATCGGTCAATCTCCAAATAGCACGGACCACGTAGAGATTCTCAAGCAGCGAGTCCGGTCACGGCGGGAAGATTGGAATATAAAGGGATGATGAGTGCTAAGAATAAAAAACGCGTCGTTGGTACCGTGACGCCGTCATCGGTGGCATTGAGCACTATTAATAGACTATGCCGCGGATGCTGTGTCAAGATTGAAGAACAAGGGTTCTTGAGATTCTTCGGTCCGAAGTTGCCACCAAAACTGTACCTCGCCCGTCGGTGATCAGACAATATGTGTCGAAGCCCTCATCCACATCCGTTTTTTGTGCCCCGCTTTCCCGCCCCCTCTTCTTTTCTCACCTACTACCCAAGCTTGTGGGTAAGAATGGATTCGTGGGGGGCAGCCAAACGCTCGATTGCCATGACCGAAAAACGGTGGGGAATGCCCAAACCGAAGGTGAAAAAGTCCCGCCCGGTGGTGAACAAGATGGGTGAGTGCGTCCGATGCATACCACACGTGGGTACAACGGGGGGGCGTAAGGTGGCGTGCAATAGATCTGTGGAGATCTAGAGGCCTCCTCGCGATATCTCCTGGTCTACGTCAAGAGCTTCGCGTTGGAGAGGTCTGTGGGAGAGGGACGCGTGGGAGATGTCGCAGGGCGTGCTATTTGGTACTGTCACCGATTCCATCTGAGTGGGAACTCAGAGAACGAATATTCTGAGGCTTTTCACGCCGAAGAAAAGGGAAGAAATGAGAGAGGTGTTGCCGTGAACAGACAAGATAGATGCCCGAAGTACGAGTTGTGCGAAGAACTGTTCCGACCTGCCAACGACTTACGTTCCTGAAGCAACCACACGCCCTCGTCTGCTTTTTACCGCCTGCTTTGATGCAGGTGCTCGTCGTCACTGCCGGGCGACGAAAAACACAGGGCTCCCCTGCACCGCCGTGGTGAAGCATGGAAACAACTTCTGTGGTACCCATCAGCCCAAAGGTGTGCAAAGATGATAACCAACCTTTGACGGGGAATATGTACCAGGACTTTGCAGTCAAAGGACCTAAAGTTTTTTTGGCAACTCGAGGTTTCACATAAAATACTCGAAACACAATTTGGACCAATAATAGAAGTAGACAATACATGCTGTATCATGCGGTAGATCATCCTCGGTGTATTGTGATGGTCACACGGAGAGGGTTGTTTTCAACAGAACTGCTGCTCTCCGGAAGTGACTGCCTTTTCGACAACAAAGGTCATTCCATCTCAGGTGAAATCGGACCACAGGGATATTCAGTTGAAACTAACCCGCACCAACCTTGCCGTAAAATCAGGGGTCTGGGCCATCACTGTTTCCACACGTTTCCTCTCCTGTTTTCACTTCTTCTCTGGACGGAATCGCAGTGTGCTGTGCATGTAATTGTAGCAGCACTGATCTTTTGAGTCTTCCGTACATGATGCCGCGTGTCCCACGCACAAGGACGCGTGGAACGTGCGTGTTTTGCCAATGTTTTCGCCTGTTTTCGTTGTCAAGTATCTTCGTCCGACACGGCCATCATCGTTCGATGATGACAGGATGTGTTAAGAGGTGGTACACAGCTTCTGTCTTCGTTTTCGTTGTCGCCGAGAACGCCTTGTGTCGGGATGACGGGGCGATTGCTTGGCATACCTTGGCATACCTCCCACATCGTACAACCGCGGCTTCCACGCGTTGTTCGTGGGGCGACAATGCAAATAGATACAGGGGCGCATTGAGCATGTGTTTCGTGGGTACACGCTGAAAATTCTACGTGTCACACGCTACCGCAGCTAGGTTTCTTCCTTAGTTACTAATGTTAAGCTGACACCAACGTGTCTGGAGCGCAGACAAGTCGGTGATGTTCTTCATCGACAACGCAGTGTGCCGCCTGCAATTTCTATCCTCTTCCAAGGCGTACCCGTCACGCCGGGCCGTCGTTCGGACAGATACGTGTTCGTGTCCTTCGATAGACATGGAGAGGGCGGGGAGAAAAACAAAGAGCATTTAGCTACGGCGTTCAGGGAAGAAAGAGGGTCGGCAGCGTTTGGGTTTCCAGATGATGTTCCGAACCAAAGGGCGAGGCCCCAGGAAGTGCTTCCCTGCTGTTTGAGAAAAAAAGCTCCTCTTGATCAAAGAGACAAAGCAATAGCCTCCCACCCGTCGTCGTTGTACGGACGCCAACATCATTGCTTAAATTCCGGGGTGATCATTCTTCTGTGCCACGAAAACACGGCTTTGACAACTGCCGAATCAACGCGGGGGTAGTAATAAAAACTGGTGAACGTCTCTGATCATCTCTGATTGCTCTCAGCAGAGAGGCCTCGTTAGCCCAAAGCATAGTGAAACCAAATCAACGTACGACGGAAATAACTTTGTCCCGCGTCCTGTTCCGCCTTTATGTTAGTTTGTTCTTGTACAGGAATAGCTCTTGCTCCTGCCTGGTCGGTTGGTTGGATTAGTCTAATTGTGCTTGCATAGACGAACCCTATCTTCCCTTGAGTCTGTGGTAGGTGCTCCCCGGTGCGAAATATCCCGCGAACCGAATTTCTGTTGTCCCATGCGAATTTGTTGTCGTCACAGTGCCCAAGGCTGGCCCCATCTGCCAAGCTACCATCGCCTCATCTGGGGAGCCGTGCCCCGCCCAGAGCAAGTGGGGATCCCGCTGGTGCGGCAAGCACTTTGCCAAGTGGCATGCAAGCCCCTAAGCCAAAATTCGGCATTGTTGCGAGTAGTGACGAGCTGTTAGCGACTCAACACCCATCCAAATTTTGCCGCCTCATTGGTGCATTGACTTCGTGGGTGGTCCGATGTCGACCACTGGTTCTAGCATTCGCCTTGGACTTCAGAATTAATCTCGCAGAGGACTGCACGCGTTTGCTGCCGGAGCCTCCTGGAGAGAGCGGATATGGACTTTCTACTGTAGGGGTGTTGCTTTGACAAACACTGTGAGTTCTCCGTCGGCAAGAGAGGCACGAGACTTTTTTGTCACACAATTTCTCCACGGTCAACTATATCGAGTAACCGAGGTTAACGTGCTGGGAGTTATGCGTGCTTCTTGACAGCAAGCTCGGCCGAAACCGGGATTTTCTCAGCCGTTTCACGGCCTATTGCTGTTGTAAGGGGAGGAATCTAAGCCTTTCACACGGGGTAAGTCGATGTAGAAGATTTCAGAAAAGCTGGAGTCACGGGGGGTTGAAAGAGGTTTATGTTTTTTTGGTCGATACCTTCTGTTCGACCGTTTGGGGGCGACGCCCTATGCAGGGAGGGGAGCGCACCTCACACAGTGCGTTTCAGCTTGGCATCTTTCTGGGCACCTGCCTTGAGAGGGGTCACTCCCATGTGGATCTTGTTGTATGATGTAGCGCGTGTGGGAAGAAGTAGAAGGCGTAGAGTTGGTCTTCCTGGCTTGTTTTGGCATGAGGTTTGTTCCGGGTTATTCATGAAAAACTCGCATCAATGATGATGTGGGCATTGGGGTTGTTTGCTGGTTTCCGTGGAGTACACGCCGAGATGCATGGCTTTGCGAGGCATGAGATATGATGAAATACATACATACAGCTTCGCCAAATAGTATATGCCGAGCGGAGGCGACCGTTAGGTGTGCTCGAGCTGTGGTTCATGAGATATTTTTCACGGCATCTACTGCAGGCTTCCGTTCAAGTGGGAGGTATTGATGGTGTTGAGATAGATGAAACTACACCATGGTATTGTACGGATTGTCGCCGGAAGCAGCTCAAGACAGCAGTATGTAGATTATGTATCCTTGTATGGAGCGAGGAGGAATAACCGCGGTAGTAGACAAGTATGGGAACAATCTGCGGGGTAAGGAGCAGGCGACGAAGCACCTGAGTTGTTCAATGCGATAAGGGCGTCTGAATGGCGTAGAAAGTGTGTTCTGGGGTTCGTGTGGTATTGCGTGGTTTGTTCTCGTTTTTTCGTTGGTGCTTCGCCTTTGGAAATGTCTGAATATCTGATCGCGTTTTACCTTTCGAAAGGGTAGTTTGCGTTTCCGATCGTGGAATTAATGTTCCTGGTTTGATTTGCCGATTCGAAGATCAACACCGAATGTACGCCGATACTTCTTCATTTAATCCTTACAGATACTACTATTGTACTGTTGTCGAGAATCATAGGGGGGGGGTAACGTGAGGATTTTGTTCTGAGCAATTGACACGTATTGCCGCAGTTCGATGTTGTACTGTCGATCTTGCAGGGCGTAATTTCCAAGATAATTTTCGTATTTGACTGCTTGAGGATTTGTTGACTCAATTTTCTCGAGAGGGTTGATTCCTAAATGACTCTAAATAGAAGAAGATTGGTTGGTGGATACCGAAGAATGCATATTATAGCATTCTGCAAATCTAAACATTCGATACTTTCGGGAGTTGGAGATAATTTGTGAGGATATCTTTCGGATTTAACAATGAGTTGTTAGCATGTTAAAGGATCTGGGGGGGCTGATTTCTTGCCGTTTCACCTGGAGATTCGTGAGGGAAGGGTTCTTAAAATATAGTTTACATATTATATGCATTGTATGCATGCTTCAAACAAGGTAGAGTTTGTTACATCTCGTTCCGTATATAGCCTAGTGTAATGGTATTTGACCCCTTCCTTCAGAATCAATCACCTTAGAGCTGTGTGGAACTCTCTTGTCCGACCACAGTAGCAGGTTGTTGTTGCTTTCCGTTGTTCTCTTTCTCTTGATTAACGCTTTCCAAGCCAACTCACAATATCCCACGCACACGCGATCATAGATCACCTGTACGCACACACTGAACAGAAGGGCACATGTCTCGGCATAAAGCCCTGATCTAGCATGACGTCACGTCTTAGCATCCGACGGCGCCAAATAACCATGATCAACCACGATCACATGTCTACCTCCAAATACCATAACAATAGCCCACCCTGAGTGGACGTAGATGCAGATACAGAAGCAAACCTCGGAGGGACTCTAGTCAATCAAGAGGATTGCGGGATGGATCGAAGATACGACAACTCAAAACCCTCACCCGCACCTCTCCGTTAACCAAACCAAAGAAGCGGAACCAAGAAAGAAGAAAACACAGAAGCCGGGGCGGCAAAGTCGGTGGATAAAATCGGAAAAAGGCACATGGGTGCGAAAAATAACCAAAACATCCGAACCGAAAAGACCATAACACGAAGTAACGAAATCGTGAAGAGAAAATCACAAACGATCTCGCACGAATGAACCGATCGAATACGCAATCAAGTAAGCCAGAACCTTACGGGAAGGGGGGCTACGATGCGATCGAGTGCTGAAATGTAAACATAAAGAATAAGAAACGAAAACCGAGCCTGCAAAGGATCAAACGACATGGAAAACCGCTAGGGGTCGACCAAAATCGAGAAAAGCAGGGAAAGAGGGGGTTTCCGGGGAACGTAAACAACGGCCAAAGAAAAGGACAGGAACCAACGCCAAAAACAACGTTCGCATGTCACGATACAACGTGCTTGCGATCGGGGTGGGGCGAGGAAAACAATCCTACGTGTACGTCAAGGCCAATTGTATGAAGAAAAATGCTAAAGAAAGTACCA